TATATAATTTATATAATTTGTCTAATAAACACTATTAAACTATTATGGTAATCAATGATACTAAAATAACACTGTTACAGATCCCTGGTCTTGTTTCAGAGAAAATACTGCTGTTGCAATTTATTTAACTGGGAGTGTAGTCTAGTTTTATTGGTTGTATTTATTGTATAAATATATCTGATCAAAGTTTCCAACCATGAGATCATTTATATCTGAGGAAGTATATCATCTCTGTTATGTCAAATGTAACTGTCATATCATATATAACTATGTGATATATTGTCCCCTCAAATAGCATCTAGTGTGGTCGTTTGTAGGTTGCTGTTGATGGCTACGCTTTTATAAGAATAACTTGAATGCGGTTTAAATTATGAGCAGTTTGACAAACTACAGTTTTAAAGTCAATAAGATCTTCACAGTCAGTATTGTGTAAATGGCTCCAGTGGGAGTTTCGACCCCTGCAGGGTGAGTGCTGCCACAGGCCGGTATGGCCCCATCATCATTTCCTGTTTGTCTCGAATTGTTGCTTTGCTTGGAAGCAGAACATCTGTAATGCAGCTCTTTTCTTTATCATTTTTTTTCCCTTTTCCTCATTCCATTAACAAACCTGGATCTGAAACCTGATCGCTGGTTTATGGAAAATGAGTGTGAAGGTCATTTTTAAATGCAATATTTAATATACACAGGTATATCGATTTTTGGCAGTGCTGCAGACAGCTCTAATTCAGTGCCCATGTTTGCAGCATTATTTGATTGGCATGATTCCTTTAGTGAATCAGGTGCTGAAACAACACAGATAGTGTGTGCAAAATAAACAGTGCACATACAAACAGAGTGTAGGTTGCATATATTGGTTGCATTCCTGAATCTTGCGTCTTTGTGGTGAGCTTTTATTGAAATGTGTTTGAGTTGCAGACAAAATCATGACTCTGAGATGCTGAAAAGAGCAGTCACCTCACACAGAGAGTTTCAGTTCCACTGCGACTGTCTGAAGCTATTTGAGGGACTGTCAGGCACATTTTTAGGAGTCGCCTACATGTGAGAACGAAGGAAATCTGCTAGAGAACAATCAGCCAGTTTGGCAGCTTTCTGTGCCAGCTGTAAGAAGACAGACTCAGTTCTGCCGTTACTGCTGAAGTGGATTATGCACAAACTGAAAACAAACCTTGATTCCATTCTGGATCTGGTTTAGTTAAAGGGGGCATAACACACACAGTTTCACCCAATCTCATGTTAATCTTGAGTGACTATAGAGTCGTACTGCATCCTTCATATCTCCAAAAAAGTCTTTAGTTTTATCAATGTTAATGAAATAACATCATCCTCCAGCGGCTCACTCTCGTGCACAGCTGACGATCGCGAAAGGGAAACCCCTCTTCAAACTCATCGGCCAGATCCACCTGCGATCCCCACGAGCTCATTCCCTTCCGTGCCTCAGCAGCGGTGGGTCCTGAATCGCGGGAAGCAGATGTCTGCCCTTCTTTCCTCGAAAAGAGAGACAAACGAGAGCGGAGCTTTTTCCGTTGGAAAAAATGCTCGCAGTGCATGCCGATTGCCCCCTCAGATGTTAAACAACGTCAACACGGATGCACACATCCTTAAACGCTTTGCTAGTGCTCGCCATAATGAGATGAATAGAGATCGCTCTTACCACAGAAATGCACGCTTCAAACAAAACACTGTTTACATAACGCTGGGTTCTTTAGGAAGCTGAACAAAGTTATCTTTCCCTTACAACCAAAAACACACTTCTTTGGATTGGAGATATTCTTCCCGAGCAAGTCCCGTGTAGCGCTGCCGCCGGATGAAGCGCGTTGATGGACGCGATCTCGCTCTCACTCTGGTCGAAAAAAATCATCAAAATCTCTTCTACACACAGAGGCCAAGGGTTTGAGGAAAAAAAAAAAGAACCAGATCAGGTAGGATGGGAGGTGTGAACTGAAAATACATTTGACGGAGTTTCTTATCCATTATAAGATGTAGGTGAACAGCCAGCTGGTCTCTAAATGTAGGCCGTTTGTATGTGCTAAAGTGCATTTTAGTGATCATGCAAATATATATGCAGTTGTGCCATCCACATTTTGCAGTGCAGAAATGTAGCCACGGTACAGCATTGCTCAGATGGTTCCTCACGCTCACTGTAGCTTTAATTCTTTAACCATATTGTTCACTTTAAAAGCTTTTCCAATCCAGGCTCTTCTGCAGCGTCTGTGTTTATGACTGCAGGTCATGAGTCTAGAACTGATGGCCATCTCAATGAAGAAACAACCAGAAAGCTCAGTTTTCCTGCTTTTCCCAGAGAACATCCTATTTTTCGTAATGACACATCCATATGTTCATATATATTTAAAGTAATTCAGCAAGGATGCGTTAAATTGATCAAAAGTTTCTAATAAATGCTGTTCCTTTGAAATTTCTATTCATCTTTTTTTCCACAAAAGAATAAGCATATCGAGCAATGGTTTTTAACATTGATAATAAAAGTGTTCAGTGTTTCTTGAGCAGAAAATCAGCATATTAGAACGATTTCTGAAGGATCATGTGACACTGAAGACTGGAGTAATGATGCTGAAAATTCAGCTTTAATATCACAGGAATACATGACATTTTAAAAGATATTAAATGACTGTTTTGGTGAGCATAAGTGACTTGTTCTGGTGTCCTCATCATGCTTTTTAACCAGCTTAACCCACAAAACTTCCTTTATAAACCAGTGTTGGTCGAATACTTCCACTAGTTTTGCTGGTCAACAGCAAGGCTATTGAATGGCACACAGGCAGTATAAACCAGCTCGAATCATGAATTCATGTCGGTCTAACCTGGTCTTTTCAACATGGTTATGATGAGGATGGTTTTTAAAAAGTTGCGTGAAGTTTGTGAGACAACCAACAGACCCAAAACGGTCCTTTAATACCACAATCACAGTCCAGATGAAATCAATAAAGAGGCAAATGTACAAGAACGGGAAACTAAAGGGTGTTAGTGTGCAGGACATACAATACTTTGCAAAGACTCAAGTGACTAAGCGTTGCAGGAAATGCAGAACAAGTGTGCATGTAACCATGATCATTAGTGTGCTGAATGGAACTTTTGATGATGGAACTGGGAATCACTGGAATCCTGGTGAATTTGAATCAAATGTGTGCATTATATTACAGATTGAGCGGCGCCTTGAAAATGTGCGACTGGTCTCTCATAATGCGCACAAGAGGATGGTCATGTGTCTGCAGGGTAACGTGGGCTCAGATGTGGAGAAGAGACATGTAAGTAACAGCTGCTTTTACATTTCCAAATCCCTCCATAGTACACATTTCTGAATAGTTTTTTTTTCCTCTTAGAAAAAGCTTCCTCTCACAGCCCTTTCACAATCCATGCTGGATGGAGGAAGTCAGCTCGGAGACGAGTCCTTCATCGGGTGAGTTTATGAACTCTTTGACTCTTTGACAGACATGTATCCTCCAAAACCATCCCATAATCTGGTCCATCTGACCTGTGATTCATACCCATTATGAGAGAAATTTTGAGTCAACAGAGAGGTGCTTTCAGGAACTGTTTCTGTGGTCTCATTAGCCATGTGACCAAACATCTCTGAATCATCTGTTATGTCAGGCAGTCAGTGTATTTACAGACCTGACCTGTGAAAATATAGAGTGGAAGCATCATTGTTACCCAACCACATTTATTAGTCCAGTGAAATTCATAATAGAGTGATGTAACATGTTAAATTATTATTGGTCATGATGGAAAATGTGACCTCATGCTGCTTGATGATGATTGGTTGAATGATTAGCAAGAGTACATTGTTTTTTGGATTATGCTAGTTGTGTTTGATGTGATTTTATGGAATATAATACAACCAAGATATTTATTACCCATGTTTTAATTTATACAGCATCTTGTTTGACCAAAAATAAAAATGCAATGTTTTGTTGTCAATTTATTTTAAACGACTGATCAAATTATTTAAAGTCTTATGAATTCATTAAAAAAGTAAAATAGTTGAGTTGCACACAAAACAGTTTATAAAATATTTTATTTATTTTAAATATATTTTTGCATTGTGAAATATTATTAAATCATAAACACAGAATGTGGGAAAATTAAATGGAAAACACAGAGTATATTTTGCATTGTGAAAACACAGAATCCAGAAAAAACAAACAAACATGGAAAACACAGAATATGGGAAAAAAATAAAACCGATTTCACGAGGCCGTAAATTAAACCGTTGCTTATTCTGTTGGAGTTTACGTGTAAACAAACAAGTTATGGTTACATTAATTCTCAAGGTCTAACAAACATGTGGAATGCATTTCCTTCACCATTAATTGTTCAAAATGAATATTGTGATAAGAATCAATATCGAATGATATGGAAAAAAAATTTGTGATCATATTGTTATGAGCCAGTATGCCCAGCCCTATTATTTAGAATCTGTTTAGCATGACCAGGCAGCATGTGTCCTTTGTGTGTTTGTATCTACAGGAAGATGATGGAAGTGTGTGGAGAAGCTGAAAGCAAACTGGCCTTTGAGCAGAGCCAACATGAAGTTCAGCTGGAGAGAGATATTCTAGAGCCTCTCAACCAGCTGGCGGAGGTACGTGAAGCCAAAGACGTGCTAATAACCTGCTTTTTAAACATGCATTGTAGGTTACGTCTCTGTTTTTGTGCTTGAAGGTGGATATTCCTAACCTTTTGAAGCAGAGGAAACATTTAGCCAAGCTTGTGTTGGATTTTGATTCTGTAAAAGCCAGGTGTGTATATATACTACCGATTTGGGGTCAGTACTAGGGTTGTGACGGTGAGGAAATTTTCCCACCGGTTAATCGACGTGTCGACGTGTGACAACACCGGTAATACCGGTATCACCGTGGGAGCGGGGGCGTTCCCTCTTTTCCTCGCTTTCCTTAGCTTTTAAATAGCTTGTAAAAGCGGCATGCGCATTTTACTTTCACTTTCAAATAGCGGCAATTCGGCGTAAAGCAATTGTCCGTTTTTAAATAAAGTAAAAATCAGCAAACAATGTGGAACCAATTAAATAAGTAATAAAAAAACTTCTAAAATCATCTTAGATAAACGGCAAAACTCAACAGGCTTTTTTTAAAATCCAAAATATTGCCAAACAGGTGCTTTTGCATCTCGTTTCGAAACTAAATCATCCGCGATCGTCTTGTCTGTCTCACCTCACTCTTCTTGTCAGTCAGCTCGACTCACTCTCCTCACTGGATAAATTAAATCTGATCTGAGATGCGACTGTCGTTCTGCACGCTGCATTGAGCAGCCACGTTCAGTTTTTAATTGTAGTGTCTGTTCTTTTACTGAACTAAATGATTTTTATTACTATAAAAAAATCAAAACGACGGTGGGGTCGGTGCCGCGGTGGGCAGTGACGTAACCGGTGTTGCGGCTTAACATTAACGGTGCGTCAGCACCGTCTATCGCGGCAAGCCTAATCAGTACGATAATATTTTATTTTTATTAATACTTTTGTTTAGCTAGGATGCATTAAATTGACCAAAGGTGACAGTAAATATGTTTGTAATGTTGCAAACAATTTTTTTTTTTCAAATAAATGCTGTTCTTTTGAACTTCATCAAGAGAGCCGATTTATCACGATTTTGATAATAATAAATGTTTCTTCAGAAAATCAGCATATTAGAATGATTTCTGAAAAATCATGTGACACTGTAGACTTGAGTAATGATGCTGAAAATACAGCTTTGATCACAGGAATAAATTGCATTTTAAAATATATTCAAAGAGAAAACAGTTATTTTAAATTGAAATAATATTTCACAATATTACTGTTTTTACTGTATTTTTTATTAAAAAAATGCAGCCTTGCTGAGCATAAAAAACTTTGCTCTGAATAATAGTGAAAATACTCTGGTAATACAGGTATCAGCAGGCCACAAAGGCGTATCCATCAGCTGCAAATGCTCAAGCAATGGCTGCCAAAGTTGACACACTTAAAGAGGAGATGGATGAAGCTCAGAACAAAATGGAAATATGCAAGGTATGGATATGTGTCAGATTTTATTGCGTTTTTTAGGCAACCCTCGGTAGCACATTAAATCTAGTTTGATCTCTTTTTGTCTTTAGGATCAACTGGCAGCAGACATGTACAACTTTTCCTCCAAGGAAGGAGAATATGCTTGCTATTATGTGTTGGTAAGTCATTTCTAAGAGCAGAATACAGAAGACAAATAATGTCTGATAAAGTTCGATTTATACTGGAATAATAAATTTAACTTGCAAATAAGGTATCAGAATGACCTTTAATTATAACACTGATCATCATTAAGAAACCGGTCAAAGATCAATGGTATTCATAGGTCTTCCTACTATACACTAGTAGCATATCCGGTCAGTGGAGTTAACGTAAATGAATAAAGCTGTTGTTTATATACTATATTTTACAGTATATAGGCAATTATTAGATCATTCAGTCACAAAATTTTCGTTTTCTCAAACAAAAATAGAATAAGTGTGAAGTTTTTGTGTATTTGTCTTGACAGTTGTTAGAAGCTCAAGCTGAATACCACAGAAGAGCTTTGGCGTCCATCGAGAGTGTCCTGCCCAGCATACAGTCCCAGCAAGGTGTGACAGTCCTGCACTGAGCATCTGCTGGATAAATGTTGCATATGAATCACTCACAACATTTCTAAAATCATGACCTTATTAATAGCAATTAAACACAGAGTATATTATGGGGGATGTGTTTTGTATTATGAAACAGAGAAGATATTTATCTGATCTCTACAATTTCCAAACTGAGTCAGGTAACTCACAAACTAAAAGAGTGAATCTCACAAAATCTGTCAAGAACATGTCCACCTACTGTATATAGAATTGCAATGTATATATAAAAATTATGCTTTTTGCATTGTGACATTGATGTTAATTTATATGTATATTTAATTTTCATATCTCAATAATAAAATAAATGCCTTTTATTAT